CGAGAATTCCAGTTTGCTTTTTTTGCCATAATCAATCGAGAGTCGTTCCACCAGCAGCGATGTAAAACCCGAGCCAGTGCCACCACCGAACGAATGGAAAATTAGAAATCCTGAAATTTTTGTTAACTTTGGAGCATCAATAATCCTAGTTTTCAAGCAGCTTATAAAAATCTATTGCTTACCCTGAAGGCCTTTGCAATTCTCCGCCAATCGCCGGGTACGCTCCAGCACCAAATCAATGAACTCTTTCCCGATCGTATAGTGTCCACGAGCATAGTTGTTCGCGGCGTCTTCTTTGCCGCTTACCATTTGTTCCGGATGAAAAAGCATCCTATATTTGCCAGTTTTGATTTCATCTGCAAAAATCACCCGCATGAATTTACGAGCAAATTTACTTCAAACTTACACACCGTATCTTCACATTTACTAATTTGAAAAACACAGCTGTTTTAATTAAACTTAAATTTATACTAATTACCATAATCGTTGTACTGACGAGGTCCAATTTTGGTAATGGTAAGGAATGCATACGACTTAATGGACCAAAAAATTTTTTTGATTATAAAAAAAATATTTTCAATAAATATCAAGTTTTATTAGCATCTTTTTGTTTCAGCCACTTCTTCACTTACCGTCTTCTACTTCTACTTCTCTTTCTTGTCTGTTTTTATCTTAAATAATTTCTACACTACACTAAACCATCTAAATTATTTTGTCACCACAATCGTCGTACTGACGTGGTCCAATGTGGTAGCGGTGAGAAATGTATACGACTTAATGGACCGAAACATTTCTTACCTATTACAAATATTTCCACAGTCCCCTTTCCCCTTCTTACTTCGCTTTTTCTTCGTTTTCTTCCCCTCTTTATTTTTTTTACTTCATTATTTTCTCTCTAATCTTTAATTAAAATATTTTATTAGCTGAAAGGCACGAAACAGGGTCAGTCGAGGTGAGTTGAGCAACATACCTATAACGGTTGGCTCCAGATCCACCAATACTGCTCGAGGGACATGTTTACCAGATTCCGTCTCCGAAAAAAAGGTGGACATCGAGTCGTCCACCACAGTTTGTTTATCGGACGGCATGCATCCATCCGGTTGAATGCCGTGCTCCAGACAAAACAACTCCCAGCATGCATTGCCAATTTGCACGCCCGCTTGCCCAACGTGTATCGAAATTACTTCGCGCTAAAACATAGAAGCATTATTACCAGGGATTCTGGCGAAAAAGCTAGTTCTGAAGCGCCGCCGTTCCATGAGCTCTGCTTTACTTGCTGCACATATCTCCCAAAACTGCCCTGCTTAGCGAAAACGCGACGCGCGATTTCTTGGAGGAACGAGGCGACGAAGGGGAGGGGTCCATTCATATCTCATTTTACCACAACACAGCAGGACGGCAAACAGCATAGTAAATCTGTGGAATTTCTAGTTACTGGGGAGCAGAAGTAGGTACAGAAACGGCAAAATAAGTTGAGTGATTATGAAAACTTACGAAAATTTCTAGTTAAAAGGCGATGAATTTTAAAATCACGATAATTTTTTTATTTTATTAAAAAAAATTAGTAAAATTATTTTAAAAATAAAATAATTTTGCTACTTCTACTAATTTTTTATTATTATTTTCTCTTCTACACATCTTTCTACTTCAAAATACCTTTCTATTTCTTTAATGGATGACTTTTTTCTTGAGAGGTGTGTGAGGTGGGGAAGTTCTCACCAGCAAAAGCTACGCTTTAGATGGATGGAAAGAAGCACTGCCCACTGAAAAGAAATCGATGGATGACAGCCCACAGCTCACCATGTCCGTCCTCGCTCACCTCAAGCCTGACTGCAGCTGCTCAAGCTACATAACGACTGACAATGTGCAGCATCACGTCGTTCAGCAAAGGCGCGACTGATGAGCAGCGACTGCTCCTGACACTGATGAGGCCACATCCAGATGGTTCATTTCCCACAACTAACAACAGCGCCAAATAAACTGTGTATGTTAACACATAGAAGACTTCAGGCTTCCCTAAAATTTCAGTTTTCTAGCTTTTCTGGTTGCCGAGTTGGTAATTTTCCCGCAGAAACTTTCGTACGCCATTACGTGAGTACCACGTATAGCTAGGGTTTGAATTTGAAATATTTGAGTTGTACTTGAACAGGTACGTCCTCTTTCAATCTCCTAGCCAGGGATATTCACTGTTTGCATCTTTAAAAATTCTGAAACACTTACCATTGTGATGAGTGCCGTGTGCAATCGAAAGTAACGATGCCAATCGTGAACAATGCGCTGCAAACATACAGAGCCAAATAAAACATTCTCGAAAGGTGAATTCATCGATG